CGGCCTGGTGCCGAGCCCCCAACCCACCAGACCGTGGCACAAGAACCAGCCATGGCAGGCAGAATTCTCTGGCCTGTGCTGTGTGGCAGGTGGGAGGAGAAGGGCTGTAGATTTATGTCCCCTGTTTTAATCATCCCTCGGCCAGCTAGACAGACTGAGCCCTTTTAATCTGCCCTGCCAACCGGCGTGGTTTGTTGTCGCTGTCCTCCGAGCAGCCTGCTTTGAAATTAGTCACCCTCCAGCGAAGCCCAGAGCTCGGCTTTCCCTGCCTGGATTATCCATGCTCCTCCCAGCAGGGGGTGCTGTTCTCAGTGTGCCTCGTGTGGTTTGCCAGGGGGTCTGAGCTAACATGGAAGAGCCGCCCTCCTACCAGACTCTGCGCCGGGAAAGGGTTTCCACTAAGAGTGTTATAAGCCAGGCCGGGAAAAGGCCTTTGGCTCTGTAACTGCGAACCCCTTGAGCTGACTGTCTGACTTCTGCCAGGTAAACAAATCGCGAGGAGTAACGGTAGTTCGGAATAGGCACCTAGTCCGAACTACCTAGTTCGAGCCCCGTGTAGCCGCGCTGCACGGGGTTCGAAGCAGCGGGGATTTAAAAATGGCGGCTCCCCGCTTATGCTAATGAAGCCCGGGAAATTCAAATCCCGGGCTTCATTAGCAAGTGCGGTATGCATACATTACCCCGCTAGTTCGAACTAGCGGGGTAGTGTAGACATACCCTTAGTGACAACAGACTCGGAGATTCAGACCGTTAACGCTTTCCCACTGGTAAAACACCAGTTGTCAACATCACCTCTGTTGCGCAGCAAATAGCCTGCAATCAAACTCTGCTGCGCTCACAAGCGGCACGTTTCTCCCTTTGTCCAGCTGTACGTTGGGTTTGTGTGTCCGTTGAAATTGACACTCCCCCTCTGAGCCTAGTTTTAAGGGTAAACGAGGCCTTACTGTGCCCGCGGGAGGGGCATACCCCAGCAGAACTACCTCTGCATGGCTGGCAGAATCTTTCTCTAGGTCGTCAGCTTATACAGACGTCTGCCAGCAGCAGGGATGTTCAAAGGCAGGTAACTGGGTAACCGTGTAACTGCGGAAAATCTCAGTGGTTAGATGGTTACACACACCTGCAGTGTTGGGCGGCAGCCGGCTCCCTGGGAGTGTGGGTGACATTAACCGATAAGCCCAGGCGTATTCGTTAACAGTTTGAACGGTTATACTTTCACACCCCTAGCCAGCACAGCTGTCAGTGAACCCAGGCCAAGTGTAGGCTCGGTTCGGGTGGCCGTACTGTAGCTCGCTATGTTCGCAGTCGAGGGGCAGAGTGTGTTGAGCGTTTCTGCTAACGCGCGGTGGGATTATGGTCCTGGAAATCTCTGTAACGGGGTGCTGCGCCCTCAGGGCAGGTGTTAGCTGTGTAAAAGCCCATGTGCAGTTCAGAAGAGGCCCACCGAGGGCACTAAAAAGGCTGGGGTGCCACTGCCCAAGAGGGGTAGAAATCCACAACTCCGCTCCACGCTGTAGGGTCCGGTCTCTAGGGCAGGGCCAGGGAAGTAAGCGACTCGTCGACTATCTGATAAGTATTTCCTTGTCGGCTAGTGACTCGGCTAGTTGCTTCTCTGTGGGGCTCTTGTACATTTCAAAGCAGGGAGCGCGGGGCCAGGGGGGACTGCTTGAGTCCCCCGCTCGCCCCATGCTCCCCACGGCACTTCTGCCTTTGACATGTAGTGGCAATGCTCTCGCTACAGTTCAAAGGCAGAGGCGCCCTTATCGACTAATCGAGTGGTCGATTGAAATTCCATCGACTATTCGATTAGTTGATGAATCTAAATTTCACCTCCCTAGGCAGAGCCTGTCTCTACCCTCGGTGTCCAAGTGGTGCCCACCTGGTCCATGTCTGGCCTCCTAGCTGCTACCTGACAGGCCATCAGAAGGATACTGGACAAGCCCTGACTTTGCAGGAATATGCTGCCCCAGTATTAGCTCCGTTTTACCGGGTGGCTGCAAACCCCTTGGGGGCTGGGCCTCTTTCCCGGCGCCCTTAGGTGGCCTTGTGCTGCACCACAGGGACGCCACCGGCTCGTTCTGCTCTCGGGAGCCTCTCAGGAGTCTTGCTCTCGTCCCAGCGGAGTGGGGGTCCATGGAGACGCCATCACCAGACCAGGGCTTCATGGAGGAACTGGCGTTGGTGATGCCCTCCCTCCGTGCCCAGCCTCTGGCAGGGTGTCTGCGCAGCCTGGTGTACGCTGGGGACCCAGACGCAAGCTCAGAGCTTCCGGCCAGGTGTTTGGCCCTCACTTGAAGCGGGGGAGTCCATTATTTTCTGTCCAGGTTTGAATTTCTTGGTCAAGGTCCAGATTCCAGAGGAAATAATAAAATAACAGTAACACGGGGCCGGGTGGGCTGGCGGAGTCTGGTCCCACTCG